AATATATAAAGAACTCATAACTCAACAAAAGGAAGACAAACAGTCCAATTAAAAAATTGGTAAAGGACCTAAATAGATACTTCTCCAAAGTGGACATACAGAAGGTCAAGAGACATGAAAAAATGTTCAAAGACAGTATCATTTGAGAGATGCCAAATAAAATGACAATAAGGTATCATTTCACACCTGTCAGAATGGCTATCACCAATAAATCAACAAACAACAAATGCTGGAGAAGATGTGGAGAAAAGGGAACCCTAGTACGTTGCTGGTGGAAATGCAGCCTGGTGCAGCTACTATTGAAAACAGTATGAAGTTTCCTCAAAAACTTACAAAGGGAATTGCCATTTGACCCAGCGATTCCACTTCTGAGAATATATCCTAAGAATCCCAAAAAACCAATCAGAAAGAATATACTCACCCCTATGTTCACAGCAGTATTATTTACAATAGCTAAGATCTGGAAATAGACCAAGTGCCCATCAGTAGACGAGTGGATTAAAAAGCTGTGGTACATTTACACTATGGAATACTATGCAGCTGTAGAAAAAAAAAGATCTCTTACCCTTTGAGATGGCATGGATGGAACTGGAAAGCATTATGCTAAGTGAAATAAGCCAGTCAATGAAGGAAAAATACCACATGATCTCACTCACTCATGGATAATAAAAAGGGCAGGTGCGGGGAGGAAATGGGGGGCATTTGTAATACAATGAAAATAAATTTAAAAAAACATACATTGCTCTTTTAAAAAACTAGCTTAAGCACAACAAATGGAAGAGCCTTGCTGTGGACTGGAGTCAGGAACTGCAACTCCTGGGGGGCCCAGATAGCTCCTTTTTTTAAATCTTTCAGGCTTTTCAACTGGGGCCAAGGGCGGCTCCTTTCCATCTCCCTATACAGACCTGCTCCATCCTTTCCTTATATTTTTCTTTTCTGTTTCATGTTCCCTGCCCATTTCAACCGCAGCTTCATAGGATCTCACACTTCAAGTTTTTAATAGACACTGACTAATAGCTTCTCTGTCCCAGGCCTGCATTCCAGGGGAGAGAAAATGATTAGTTTAGGCAAGATCAGGTGACCATGACTTGGTCCTGAAAGCTGAGATGGGGCTGGGAGTGGTGTGCATATACTTTGTTGTTCCAACCATCATATGTTTGAGAGTGAAAGGGGGTTACTACTAATAAGTACATTAGAGCAACAGGTGCAAAGCAGAATTGTGCGGGGAAGCTGCAACATGGTCACTCTATGTACGAAACATTGGGCTTTAGGGGCTTGTTCATGTGGGCAGGGAAGTAGTCCTTAGAGAAGGGGAACATGGTTTAGGGGCGGGAACCTATTAAAAAATGGCTGTCAACAACAAAAGTGGAAGTTTTTATGTATTCAGTATTACTGGAGAGACTGTGGGAGGCACAATCCCGCCACAAGATTGCCTGTGGAAAAGACATTTGGGACTCAACTGCTGTTGGATGATGTGTACCTGTTAGCTTAGTTGAGAGAGCAGAGGAAGATACCGGCTCCAATTCCTCAGAGTGTGCCTGGTGGGGAAAGCTTAGCCTCCCCACCTTCTCCTCTTGTGGGCCCCTTGAGTGCATGAAGGTATGAGAAGGCAAGCCGGTGACCTCGCTCTGAGCACCCCTTAGCACTTCCTCCCCCATGGTCTTCTTCCTCACCCAACCTACCCTTTCAGGTCAGCAGTTTTTCCCCCAAACCCCTTCTGCACTTCCAGTGGCACACCTCTTAGTTCTTCTTGTCCAGCTGTTCCGTGTATATTGTCCTTGGCCCCAAACCATCCCTTAAATGCATTATGAGCTCAAGAGCCACGTGCAACACTTCTAACCCTTGGAGCCTAACCCTGTGCTGAGCAGTGCGTCCCTGTTCCAAATGCTTTTTGACTTTTCAGAAATCACAGGGTATTTGACACTGATGTCAGCAATCTCCGTTTTCCTTTCTCTGCACTAAGTGATGTCTCCGCAGTGAGCTGGCATCAGAGGGGAGGTACTGTGTGAGGAGATTGCTAATACGCAAGATAGTTCGCAGTAAGAAAGTGAGTGACATAGAACGAGAGAAGGAATTTATATTTGGAACCAAGTGGCTGTGTACAGGAAATTAAAAATAAAATTTAGCCCTTACATCTTTATTTTTATACATACTACCACCATGAGGACCCTGAACAAGAAATGAAATTTAATTCTGATGTTCTTCAAGGATTATTGCCTCTTGCCATGGGAAATGACAACTTGTGAATGTCTCCCATAGGCTGCAAGGGTGACCAAATGGCAGAGGTTGTACCTGAAGCCACGCTGCAGCAAGTCATATTATTCCTTAGCTGTTTTGCTAAACTGAATATCTTTTTTTTTTAAGTCAGGTACGAGGACATCTGAGTTTGGTATTCTGCTGCGCATAGTAACCAGGTTCATTGCCCAGCATACTTCATGGAAGACCATATGAATTTATGCACATTTTGGTGAGCTGCACAGTGATGTATGGTTGGCTTTTCCTATCAAAGGATACTCTTCCAGTGCCACAGCCAGATCTTAATCTCCAGAGCAGAAGCAAACTTTATAAGAAATAAATCTGGCAATAAACCACCTCGAAGGCTTGCACAGAACAATTAACCCAAAGACACAATTTGACTGTTAATAGGTGTCCTTTCTGGCCCTGTTCTCGGCATGTCATCTGAGCTGAGAGTTTTCTATGGAACATCCAGGTTGGCCACGTCCCGCATTTAAGGGGTGCGGGCGCTGCGTGCTGACCTCACTCCTGTTTCCCCGTGGAAAGGTCCTGAGAGGTGCGGCAGATGCAGGCATCTACATAACGCAATAGCACTCCTGCCCAGAGGGGTGTCCTTGTACTTTCAGGAAGAGAGATGGGATCTTCGACCCTCAAAGGGTTCTCCTGAGTATCGGGCACCTCTGGGCATCCCTGAGAGAGCTCTGTGGCCGGAGCTTTGAGGCATCTCCAGCTAAGTGATCGTCAGTGCCTTGTTGACATTTATGAGCTTCAGGACAGCCAAAGTAGAGCATCAAACCAATCACAAAACCCTTTCAAGGACGGGGCCCTGTGTGATCGCTCAGCCTGTACATCCACGAGCTGGTCCCGCCTTGAGAGTTAAGTGCCTCGGTGCCTCACTTCAAAATGCATTGACATCCTCAGGAAAACTTGAAGGAATGCAAAGAAACAAACAAACAAACAAAATGGCTACAGGGACCCCGACCGAGTATATATATGCCTAGATCCCAGCACCAGCCCATCAGTACCTTTGGCATCTCCTGAAGTGAAAATTCGTGTACTTGATTAACACAGATGAGTTTGCCTCCTGGAAGGTGCCTGGAGTCATGTAACACAAGTCAGGGGCAGGCGGCGGGAGGGAAAGCCGGGGTAACACATTCATTCAGCCTAATCCCATTTCACTGCCTCCTTTCTCTGACTTTCTACATGTATAACCTGCAGCCTCTACACAACAGCAGAGTGATCTTCTAAAAAGAGTATCTATCCTGGCCCCCCGGCCCCTTTCCTTGCCTAAACTACCTACATGATGTTCTGGTACCTTGGAGTCCAATTGAGAATTCTCACCCACATTCCAGGCTGTGTGTGTTCTGGTCTCCGCGGACTTCAGCCACACCAAGCTTCCCGCGCTGCCACTTCTTTGTGCCTCAGGCATTTTGCACATACCATTCCCTTCACCTGGAATGGCTTTCCTGCTTTTCATCCCTCCCCCGTGGTTTCCCCCATTCTCCCCAACTTCCTTCTTTGTTGAGATCACAGTTTACATGCTTTTCCAACCCTCTGCCCATATACATTCCCCACCCCAACACCACCAGCAGTTGGAATTATACACTCTCATTGCACCTTTAATTTGTGTTAATGCCTGTCACCTGACTAGTCTGTGAGCACCATGAGGGTGGAGGCATGTCTGTTCTGTGCATCATTCTGTCCCCGGGCCTGGCATAGCTCCTGGAACATGGTGGGTGCTCAATAGGTGTCTGTTGAAAGTATGAGTGGATGTTCCACCCAGTTCACAGTTTACACTTAATTATATAATATCTTGAGTTATCTGTTGTCCTTTGCTAATTTCACCGATTAGTTTTGAAACTCTGACATCAGGCCACATTTCTGTTTTTCTGCATCTTCCACAGTGCTCAACCGGTAGTAATAGTCAAGGAATGTTATTGACTGAAAGCTTTAAGCATTTTACACATTCAACTTCTGCCATTATAGTATAGATAACTAAGAAAGAAAACCAATTATGTATTTTGTATGTGTTTTATTATACATACTTCTGCTGAATGCTGAGGTAATAACCAAAACTAGACATAATCTTATTTCTAGGATTTGTGTCTCAAAAGAAAAATTCAACTGTGATATAAATCTCCCTCTCACAATCATAGGTTATTGATTTTGGAAATGGTCTTGATATAAGGACTGGTTGTGTTCAGTGTACTGGTTGTGTACGTATGCAGTCATGCCCCTTTTAATGACAGGGATATGTTCTGAGAAGTGTGTCATTAGGCAATTTTGTCCTTGTGTGAGTATCATAGAGTGCACTTGCACAAACCTGGATAGTGTAGTCTCCTACACACTACGCTGTCATGTATGCAGTCCATCATTGACCAAAATGTTATTATAGGGCATGTGGCAGTGTATAAATGCACACAATTCATGTGTTATGATAACAACTGGCAAAAGGAGTTGATATGCTGTCATTCTTTCCTATAACGTGGCTATCCTCAACTCCTTGTCCAAAATGGAATTTGTAAGGTGGGTGTTCACTGATAAAAATCTTAACAGGACCCTGAGGGGCAGTATGTTTTTCTCAGTAACTTTTACAACTGGAACTTTGACCCTCTGGGGCTCTAGTCCTATCCAGTCTTTCTGATGGACTTCCTCCTCTTGCTATGTTGTTTTTTGTAGATTGAAGGCCTTGATAGCATTGAACATATTTTTAGTATAACTAATAATGGTTTATTCTCCCACTTTCTTTCAAATGCCTTTTGTAGACAAGAAGCCCCAAACTGTCTCACAGTCCTCAGCCTCCCAGCTTGGGCGACCCGGTGGAGCATTTATCCGAGACTTCTGGTGACTCTCTGGAAGCCATGTCTGAGAGCGAAGCTCCAAGTCCTTTCTCCAGAGGCAGCCGAACTCGAGCAAGCCTTCCGGTGGTGAGATCGACCAACCAGACGAAAGAAAGATCTCTAGGTGAGCCTCAGAAAGCAGTTTCTGATATCTCTTTATCACTGCGTGTATCTTGTTTTTAAACTTCTGAACACATACTCCTGCAATGGAACGTTAATTTGATCTCGATTTGTAAAAACACGAATCCCGAGAAACTTCACTGATTGAACACCGCGCATGAAGATTTGCCTGCTGGGGAAGCAGAAGTCTAAGATGTCTTTGGGAACAGGCACAGTTAGACCTGGCTGGTTAGCCACTCGAGCCAACACGCTAGCAGTACTTGCCTGTGTCCCGGATACAGGGAAGAGTGGGGGACAGACTGCAGAATGAGTGTTGTTTATCAGGAACCTCCTTCCCGTCTCAGAAGCCTGGAGAGTTGAGGTCTGAGCCCTGGGAGCTGGGTTTGCACCAGCACCAGGCTACTGTCTGGCAGTCCAGAGGAGGGTGTGAATGGCTCCAGGAAAAAGAGGTGCGATGTGGCCCAAACGCCCATGACTGTTAGCGACAGCTGTAAACTCAGGGCTGTTCATCCCACTGCCACACGAAAGGATGGAGGGGCGTGGCACGTGTTTGGCAAAGCTTTTCCTTCAGTGAGTTTGTAAGAAAAACAGGAGGATTCTCTCTTTCTGCCTTACCACTGATTGGTCACTTTTTCATATTGGACATTTCACTTCCTATCTTGCTCTGCTGGGTTTTTTTTCTGGCCCTTTAACAAAATGTACAGGTATGAGAACTTAGACCTCTTTGCCAGTTGTGCTGGTGTTTCATATGCTTAACTTGCCATTTCAAGTTTTCCACTCAGTACCTGTGTTTGCAGACTTTTGGGGATCAGGGGAAAGAGGGGACAGGAACTGGGTTAACTAGAAAAAGCTTCAGGGTTTGGCCCCTAGAATTTAGCATGAGACAGCTAAATTCTATGTAAAACCTACCAAATGCTTTGCATGAAGAAGAAAAGAGAAGGAAGACATGAGGAAGTACCCTGAATTTGTTCCTCACCTGCAGATGATGAGAGCAGACAGGATTCAGACAATGTCCTAGCTGTCCAAAAAAGACCAAAATAAAACAAAACAAAAAAAAGACCCTATTATTATTTGCGTTATTAATTTTAACATTAAATTTGTATTCTTCATTTTAGCTTATAATCCAGCTTCCTCGTTTCACAAATAAGAGAAAAAAAGACACACAGAAAATCTGCTTTTTAATTTTGGGGTTACATAGTTGATTAAATGGCAGAAGCAGTAGCCCAGGTTTCCTACCACTTCATTTACAGATGAAAGCGAGGGACCTGAAGGGATGAGATAACGCCCAAGGAGCATAGTGGGCCAGGGCAGTGTCAGGATGACACAGGCTTCCCCCTGGTACCAGGCGGGGCTTTCCCGCTGGATTATGGAGCATCCTGCTCTCTTAAACCCTTCGAGCTGGAGGCAAGAGCACCAGGAACCAGATGAGGAGTGGAATTTCTCCTTTGTGCTCTGCAGGAAATGCGTGAGGTTCAGTTCTTGGTACAGACAGCCCGTGCTTTGCGAAATAAAATGAAGATAAGAATAAGTGCCTCCATGCCTTCCCCGTACCTGGGGAACATTGAGCCTGTTGGATAATGGACCCTTTGTCTCACAGCCAAGCGCATTGGCAGCGCAGGTGGGTAGATACTGGCTTCAGGAAGTGGAGGGGCTGCAGGAGCCAGGGCAGCCTCACTGTAGGAATTGCTGAGGGCGGCTGGTGTTTCCTCCTGCCCTTCTGCAAAATGCCGAGATGCACTCTCAGCCCACCTGGCTGTAAAGTTCCTGCAGGGGCAGAGTCACAGCTGATTAAAAATGCATCCGAGATGTTTATTCCTCCAGCTCTTGGAGGGGCTTGAGGCCTGCGATTTTTACAGCTCCTGGATAGAAATAAAGGAACGCAGTGAGAAGAGAGGAATGAGAAGTTTGCCCAAGCAAGGGGAACTGTGGTTCCAGAAAATGAACTGGTCAGTAGGATGGGCCCTGCCCAGGTCCCCTCTTGGTGGCATGTTTGGGAATGTCCTCCCAGCCGCACCTGGCCTTGTGGGGTAATTCATTTGGGCCTGGATGGGAAATAAACAGGACAGTGAGTCAGAGAGAGTCTAAACACAGTCTCCCTGCCAGGGCCTCGTTCAGCTTTATGTTCAGGAAAGCCCCATGTGCCTGGCTTTCTTTAACACTCAGACACGGGCTCCTGGGAAGGGCAGGAGCAGCAGGTGTCTCCCAGCCCTTGGTGACACCAGGTCTCAGAGGCTGCAGACCCGGTACTGAGCCAGGATCTCCAGAAACCCACCGTTGGTGCCATTTGGACACCTGGGTATGTTTTCGAACCTGTACATTGTCATTTTACCTTAATGCACAGAATTTTACGATCTCCCCCAAAGTCCTGTTGACTCTGCCTTTATTTAAAATTTTCATAGTTTGCTCATCATGGATTTTTGCAAGAATTTTGATTTTTAAGATATCACATTAAGTTATAAATGATCTTGATTACTCTTTGGGGCCTCCTTAAGTTTTGCACTTGTGGAGAGTGCCTCGCTCTCCTCACTCCAGTGGCTGCCCCTTGGGTCACCCCGGGACACCGCATCCCATTGCCCTGGCCTCAAAGCCACAGAGCCCGGGAGGAGGCTGAGTCAAGCCCAGGTCCTAGGCTGCTCTTCTGCACATGCGCAGTGTGTCGCTCAGGCAGCGTAGGGGGAGACCGGGGCACCTTGAGGGGAGAGCCCGGAAGAGGCAGATCCTTAATTCACTCCCGCTCCCCGGGAGTTTCATTCCCCCCACTTCAGCAGCTTGTGCCCAGAGATAAACCTGCCTGCTTAATCATTTTCCACTTGACTGATTCCCTCTTTCTGTTACTTCAGTGTACTTAGGGGATGGGAGGAGTGAGGGAGGTGGGGTGCATTTCACAGAGGATGTGAGCAGACGTGGAGGAGAGAAGGGACAGAGACCTCAGCCATCGCTGGGGTCTGTTTTCATATTCTCCCTCAGATGCGTCCTGCAGGCAGGATGTGAGCTCCGCTTTGGGGACAGGCGCCGAGGGACTGCAGGCAGGACACAGGTCCTTTCTGATGCTGAGGGCAAGCTCGTCATTCTCAGAGGTTTACCAAGAGGAAGTAAGGAAAGCATGGTGCTCAGCTGCCCCGAATTACAACCTGAGCAGGCCCCAGTGATCAACACCTGTAAACCTCTACTTCTGCAGGGTGCTGGGTTCCTGCCCCCTCCACCATCCGAGCCCAACTGAAATTCTTCTCGGTAGCATTTTCACCATTTCTCCTTCCCCCTCTCTTCAGTGAAAATGGAGAAGAGGAGGAGAAAGGAAGTCTGCAAAAGAAAGCAAAAACCGCTTTGCAGTCGCATTTGGTTTTAGAAATAATTTCCATGAAAAACTGCCCCACTGACATGAGGTCTGGGTCTTGGTGAAGGGGCCCTCCGCTGCCTTTTAATCGTCGCTGTCTTTCTTATAAAGGCCTGTCTGAAATGTGACCGTAGGCAGCCATGGGGAAAGGGCAGCCGCGAGGCATTCCCACCGTCTGTGTGCGCTCAGGAATTTGAAAGTAAAACTCATGTGAAACCGAGAAGAGCAGCAGCACCTCCTTCTCGCGGCGGCCAGATGCCTGTGTGGACCATGTTCTGAATGGTTGACTTGCCTTTCCTTCCTCTTCAGCGGGTCTTTTATGGATGAGCTCCATTGATCAGTTTTTTCTTTTATGGATTGTGGTTTTGGTGATATGTCAAAGAACTCTTCATGAAGGTCAAGGTCCTCAATCATGTCTCATTTTTTTCTGTAAGTTTTATATTTACTAGTATGTATCGTGCATTTAAGCCCACGATCTGTTTTGAGTTAATTTTTGCACGTGTGACCCTTACCAGCTTGCCAGCCGGACAGGTTGCTGTTTCTGTAACAAATTGTCTTTTGAACCCTCAGACTCAGCAAGCAAGAATGATTTGAAATGACTTGAGAAGATTTTAGACTAATTTGGGAGACTTTTTTCCACACATGAGAGTTGTTGAGTACCTATGTGGTTGTTCTTTTATCCCAACGTGGTAACAGTGATGGTGACCATTCCTGGGGGTGAGGAGATGTGTGAATTTAAGGAACAGAGGGGACAGAGTTGCCAGAATTTTTCCTCCTGCACATAAGAGTAGGTAGGAGGTGAGAGCAAAGGATTGAGGAAACCTCCATCTACCAAGTGGGAAGCCAAGAAGGTGATGAGCAAAGACTGTGAGGCTCAGAGTATTTCAGTGTAACGTGATACCCCTTGCATAGTTAAAATAGAAACACATTTCAGACGAATGGAAAGTCGTGTTGATCTAGAGAGTAAGTGAAACGTTGATGAAATTTGTTTTTTAAGCACAAGTAATGATTGAAATATAATATTATCAAAACAAAAATTTATAGAAGAGAGTTTCATAGCAGGTCAATAGGTTTGGGGCACATTCTGGACCTTTTTAGAGTGCTGTCAAAGAAAAGGTCCAAGCATTTTCCCTAGCATGGAACTAAGTAGCTGGGGTAGGTAGATAGGGCAACCTGCTGGCATGGTCCACCCCTGTCTCCTCCTGGTTTGCCTTTCTTTACTTTGGAGGCAGGAAGCAGACTGAGTCTGGAATATCAAATGTGTGGGTTCCGGAAATGGGAACCAAGGCGTTTGCAGAGGCTGTTGGGTTTTCTTCAGCATCATTTGCCAAGGTGCCAGAGCACTGCTATTTGATAGCATTGAAAGTCGGGTGCAAAGCATCCATTTTTCTAGTACTAAGGGCACAGGTGTGGCCTGGCTTTCCAGTACCTACTGGGTTCCTGCCTTTGGAGTCACAGTTGTCCGGGTGAGGGGAAGCTTTCTCTTAGTCAAATGGGCTCTGCAGTACCCAGTTCTATAGTTAAAATCATCCTAGTGATTCTGCACACTGCACAATAACTCCATATTTGCTTAAATTAGCTCAGTTCTCTGCAACTGAACCATGCATGACTGATACAAGGGGTCTGATTTGCTGATTTGTAGAAATTATAGTGCTGCCTATTTTGGGTGT